AGAAATAGAATATAGAATAGAACAGAATATATGGAAGGGAATAGAATAGAATAAGGAAAAGGAATAGAATAATAGAATAGAAATAGAAATAGAATATAGAATAGAACAGAATATATGGAAGGGAATAGAATAGAATAAGGAAAAGGAATAGAATAATAGAATAGAAATAGAAATAGAATATAGAATAGAACAGAATATATGGAATAGGATAGGAATAGAATAGAATAACAGAGTTGGATCTTGGAGGTCTTCTAGTCCAACCTCCTGCTTAGGCAGGAAATCTTATTTATACCACTTCAGACAAATAGTTATCCAATCTCTTCTTTAAAACTTCCAGCGTTGGAAATTTACAACTTCTGGAGGAATGCTGTTCCACTGGTTAATTGTCCTCACTGTCAGGAAATTTCTCCTCAGTTCTAGGTTGCTTCTCTCCTTGATTAGTTTCCATCCGTTGCTTCTAGTCCTCCTTTTCTGGTGCCTTGGAGAACAGTTTGACTCCCTCTTCTTTGTGGCAACCCCTGAGATATTGGAAGGCTGCTGTCATGTCTCCCCTGGTCCTTCTTTTCATTCAACTAGCCATGCCCAGTTCCTGCAACTGTTCTTCATATGTTTCAGTCTCCACTCCCCTAATCCTCTTTCTTGCTCTTCTCTGCCCTCTTTCTAGTGCAGAGAAGGTCATTAAACAAATTAGGTAATAAAACAATTGCCCGCTATGGTAATATACACCTTCCTACCTACAGTGACTGGGATGCTGCTACCGGTAAAAATTGCAAAATTATAAAAGCAATATCTGTTCAAGTAGTCTTCGACTTATGACCACAATTGAGCCCAAAATACCTGTTGCTAGTTGAGATATTTGTTGAGAGAGTTTTGCCCCATTTTACAACCTTTCTTGCCACACCTTGTTAAGTGAAACACTGAAGTTGTTAAGTAAGTAACATAGTTGTCCCCTTTGACTTTACTTGTCAGAAGGTCTCAAAAGGGGACCACATAACCCGGGGACACTGCGACCGTCATAAATACGAGTCATTTGCCGAATGGCTGAATTTTGACCACATGACCACAGGGATGTGGAAAAACGATCGTCAGTCATTTTTTTTTCAGCCCCGTTGTAACTTCGGTCACTAAATGAACAATTTGTAAGTCCAGGACTAGCTGTACTTGAAGGGTTTTCCTTTTTTCAGCCTTTACCAATTAAAATTCTGTTTCCGACAAGAGATTTTCTTCCCTTATGTCACTCTGGGCATGACGTCACCATCGAGATGATTAATGTCCCAAATATTGGGTGTAGCCCCCTCTGGCATAGCGTTGTGCATTGTGCATCACACCATCTCTTAAGAATGTGTCGCAGGCTACTTTTAAGGAGGCTTGACTGTTAAAAAGAAAAAAAAAAGCTGATAATTACGTCTGGGTTTTTTTTTTTAATATATATATATTCTTGGGGAGAAGCCTGTGAAAATTAGATTTTAATTGCAGCCCAGTTTCTGGTACTCCTGTCTCCAGTTGCATATGTTAACTTTGCACACAAGATACTCTTCCAAGAATTGAATGACTCACGGAAGGAATGCTTTATATTAGTCAGGTTATTTAACTGCACCCGAGTAACAAGGGTGGTTTGACAGAGTGAGCACTGATTTTCCAATATTGCCTCTCAAAGGTTTGTGGGTGATTCTCAGTCTTCCAAGTCACAGATGTCCCAAAGGTGCTTTTTTTTTTCCCCAGGAGGCAACTGGACTTTCTGGTTTTTCTATGACGACTTTATTTCCCTTCTCATGCAAAAATCTGAAGAGCTGAAACGTCTCCAAAGGAAAACGGGAAAATCTGGTTGCCTCCTGGAGGGGGGGGAGGGAAACCCCTGTGGGATGAAAGGTTTTCATTGTTTTTTTTTAAAGTCCTCCAAATGTAGAAAATTATTCTTCCGACAGGAGAGAATATTTGGAGATCCGGCTTGAGCCGTGGGGTGCTCGGTGCTCTCTGAGCTGGGTGGTTTTCTTGCAGACGTCTCATGACCCAGCTAGGTAATACCATCAGTGCTATAGCA